TCAAGTGTCAGCAGGCGATACCGTGTCCCCAGTTATGTCGGACCGAAGCCATTTATAAAAAGCTCCTTTGGTAAAGCCCTGCGCAGGAGTCGCTGCCTCGGTCACAACTTCTTGCGCCATAATTAGGAGATGATTGATTTACTGGCACATCATGTGGATTCTGGTGTCATTTGCAGCCGAGGGGTTAAAAAGTTGGGATGGAGTAAATCTCGCAGATCATGGACGTTGTGTTTTATTTGTTGTATTTATTCAGTATCTATGCCTTTTTCGTTCTTACTGTCTTCCTACCTCACATCGCGGCCCTTTTATGTTTAGGGCTTAAGTGTAAAGGTAGCAGATATGGTGAGGTCGGATACAGTCGGTCGCATCGTTGTTGTTTGTCTCATCAGGCCGTTGGCTCCTCATCTTCAGTCGATGGAGTGGATTTTACGAGGTCATCTGGTCAATTAGGATTATGATGTGTTAATCCTGACTTGATCAATAAGAAAACGTTGCTTGCATCTGCAATCAATTGTTGCTGTTAATTGTGTGTGCGTGTGTGGGGGGAGGGGGGCTGTAGTTTCTGCCACATTCAGATCTCAGATTACTGACTAGATTATGTTATTTTCCAGATAGTAATTAGAATCACATGAAAGTACTTTAGATTTGCTCCCTAGTGTAGCGATGTACCACAAAAGGTGGTGGCTAATTTTAACTTTTAGAGCTCAGCGGTTTATAAATGTTATTTTTCTTGACAACTTCTCAAAAAAGAGGCGTGAAATCCGTAGCGCTCAATCAAAGGTGTGTAGTGATCGCCAACATGTCCTGAGAAAGAAAACGCGTCAGAGCTCTGGTTTCATTGTTTAATTAACAGATGACTTGAAAGTTTTGTTCAAACGGTAGCAAAACTGAATCCTGCGCACAATGAGAAAGGAAAACAAGAACATGGGCTTGTCACTTCAACCCGATACTTTTTGTATCATTTTCACTCAAGCAAAACAGAGATTATAAAATCGGTTGAAGTGTTTTTATAATATCTGGTTTACCAGCCAGTCCCACTGTCAAGTTACTCAAGGGCTCGGCCCTTTTCAAGGAATTTGATTTATTTTCTAACAATGCGCAGTCTGAAAAGTAGTCTATCTGTGTCGTAGGGGATTTCAGCTCTCCAGGTGTCTGGTTAACCGTGGTATCAAAGCTCTATATTTTCTTTGTGGGAGCACGGAGGCCGTGCCGTGCTGCTGCTTGTGGTTGCTTTGGTGCATTAATGACACCCATAAAAGGGCTTTGGCCTGGAACAATGCCGTGTTTGAATATGGCTGATCATGTGTTCACGAGCTGCATCGAGACCCCCCCAATCCCTCTCCCTGCTAGTCATGCGCTCCCTTCCCCCTCTCTTTAATCATTACAAATTGGCTCGGTGAAACTCCACCACTCATCGTTGCATCATTGTCTTTTTTTTTTTAACAGTTGACCTGTAATCCTTTCGATATGTTTACCACAATGTGACCTTGCCTATACGAGGCTGTAGCTAACCATTAACATCAGGTAAAACCAAATATTTTCATCCTAATCTCTTTCATGGGGAAAAGAAAAAAAAGATTAATATTAATTGTGCAACTGGTCGTCCAGCTTTGAGTGAAAGGGGAACTGTTCACAGTGTGAACCTGATTTCTTTAAATATTAACCACGCCTCATCGTTTTATTTCTGTACCCCAAACAAAGAAACATTATAACTGCCATGAAAATAAACTAGAGTAGTGTTGAATTGAGCTAAATTTGACTGCCGAACAAAGTTGCTACAAAGTGTATTTTAATGTTTTTTTAGTTAACAAGTTTTAACCATGTGTCTCCTTCACACTTTTAAAATTAGACAAGCTTCCACTCAGAGTCTGAAGGTGTGTGTGTGTGTGTGTGAGTGTCAGTCAGCTTGACCTCCGGGTGGTTGGCAGGTGTAAATGAGCATGCAGACGACAGACCGGCCTCCTCTCAGTTTGGGTTTTTAGTTGCAAAGCTGCTGTGTGACACTTGTGCCCCCGGCTCGCTAACTTCCATTTGCTTGGGAGGGAGCCTCCCCCTGCTGCTCTTTGGTTACTGATTATTTGCGGTATAAAACCACTTTGTTGTCCGGCCTTTTAATAATTCATCTCCGCACGAGTTCTCGCTGACCCTCCCGCCCGGCCGGGGCAGGAAGTGATCAGACAGCAGTCCGTCATGAGCGCTGAGTGCGTGTCCGTGTGTGGCTGAGAGCTCGGACGTCTCGTCGGACTGCGATTGCTTCACTTCTTCACCTCTGCTGTCACTTTTTTGTCCCCAGAACAAGTCAGATCAGTCTCTGTTGCTATTAAGTTTGCTACAGATCCATATGTTTTTCATCTGCAACTCTCTCTCCGGTTTGTTTTTTTTAGTTCTAAGTTAAAACAATATAACCGTTTTGAATAGTAAAGTGCTACAAACCATCCAGCTTAAACAAATTTTAATAGGCTTTTTCAGTTGCAGGGGATTTGTTGATGGGGCGTTAACTGGCTCCCAGCATTACCAGTTGGCCCAGTTTCTAGTCGCTTATCTAGGTCCCCGCCCCTGTGCACACACTATAGGCATGGAAACCTATATAAGTATGGAACACCTACCTCATGATGATAAAATCCTTCTCGCTCTTTCTTTCTCTCTCTCTCTCTGTGTGTGTGTGTGTGTGTGTGTGTGTGTGTGTGTGTGTGTGTGTGTGTGTGTGTGTGTGTGTGTGTGTGTGTGTGTGTGTGTGTGTGTGTGTGTGTGTGTGTGTGTGTGTGTGTGTGTGTTAGGAGGGGGATGTGGGTTCACAGGTATTATGTCCATGTGGCTAAACGAGGGAGAGATAATCAGAATGAGTGGGAAGCTGCTAGAAGAGCGACAAAGACAGGACATAAAAACAAAGAGCAAAAGGCCTGAGGAAACATTGAGGGAAAAACAAAGAACATGTTTGATATATACGACGATGATGACTGCAGTTGTGGTGCCGGTTGGACAAGATCCTGGCTGCTCAACCAGGTGTCTCACTGCGATGATGTCATCATCACCCATATAGCTCTCCATAATGCATCTGGTCTGTTACCAGCTGCTGTTTGGGACTGAATCTACTGAATCTAGTGTATTTGTTTGTTGTTAACTTTGTCCTAAACGTTCCTTGGAAATCTTCCCCTTCTCATGGTATTTAATCGAGATGTTTTTCTCAGTCAGCCACATCGATCCAACTACTGACATTATGTGTGCTGAAAGTATTTGGATGACGCTGGTTCCACCAAACGGCACAACTGTACATCCTGTTTTGTTGTGTACATATTTTGGTAATAAATGTTCCTGATTGCTGATCATTCTAATACTATCCCAGTTATTTGATTGTATTTGGCTGCGTGTCCGCCGTGTCTCACATTGCTAACAGAAACTCCTGCATGCTGATCAAGAAAGGAAAGGCGTCAATCCATCTCAAATACGGTCGTTTCCCCCCCATCTTTACAGGGGAACCTTCAATAGTAATACGTCCCAAACATGGCGTAAGAAACGCAAGGTGAAAGCAGCGAGATTTTATTGTAGATTCTAGTCACATGTTCATCAACACAAAGCAGGATGCCGCGTCCGTGTCCCCGATAACCGCGAGCACTGAATGAGACTCGAAACTGGATATGCACCCGTAGGAGGGGGAGATACTGTGAGCGTGTTTACACCGTAGACTGTGAGGGGTGACAGCCCCTTCGGTTGTCAGGGAAACGGTGAAACTAATCGACACACGGCCGTGTCCACGCTGTAGCGCTGCTCCGGCCTACGTGGCCTTTTTAATTGCTGCGGAGGGACGTGACAATCTCCAGATCCGATCGTTCCTTCTGTGCGGCGGCGCACCGATGGGCGACGTTATCGCAGAGAGGGCTTCTCGTGCCACGTCGCCACATCTGACGCGTTAGTCAGTCCGACCTTGTTTGTATTTGTTTGCGTGATCAGGAGAGAGAGAGTTGGTGGTGGAGAGCCAATAAAACAACATGGCCGGGAGGGGGGGGGGCGTTTAGGGAGTAATTCCAAAGATTTATGGTGCGGCACTTCACAAAATGCATGCATCCTGTAATTACAGCCCCCACCTCCCCTCAGCCCTTTGCTAGCAGGCCTGTACATTAGTCAGCATCCCCCACCTCAACCCTCCTCATTCTCTACTCAGTTCCCCCAGCTAAGACTGTAAGATCTCATGGTGTCGCTAATGAGGGTGAAAGCCACAACGAGGGGCAGTCTGTTAGCGGTAAGAGGCCACGACTGTCACTAATCATACCAGCCTTTGGCTGGGTGCTTTAAACCAAACGCAGAAATACTTTAGTGGCTCACGGCAGAATGTTTTTGTTCATTCACCCTCACTTGGCATTCAGGTGGCGTGAATGGATTTACCAACTAAATCTTAATTAATATAAAATGACTCAAATGAGAACGCAGTTTGTTTTGGTTTTAGTAAATACATTTTGTATCAAATCGTTGTATCTGCGTAGTAATAATGTGCAGTTTCACAGTTTGTAACACCCCGTGACCTCGAAAGAGGTACTGTGTGACATATGTAGGTGTAACTGAACGCCTCGAGTACGATGCCCGACGCCGCTCCACTGCTTTCCCACCGACGGTGGAGCACCTGTTAGATGTGACACATACTTAGAAAGACGTTCACTATCACACAGGCAAACTCAGCTGGGGAAATTTCAATGGCCTCTCTGTAGTCCCCCGAGTTGGCGCCCGCACTTCAACTGGCAGCTTTCAGCGAATGTTTCCTGAGCCCAGGGCCTCGCCAGCAGCTGGACCCACATCAGGTTCTCATCAAGCCAGACGGGTCCACAGCAATTCCTCTGTCTTCTTTTGATCAGAGGGAACTGATGTTATTATTGTGATTCAGATTCATCATGTGACCCCGCGCCCCCCCCTGGTGTTCCTCTGCTTTTTCATGCAACGTCAGATCTCAAACATGTGTTGCATTTTGAATTAAATCATAAATAATCTAAATCCGTCTCCCTCCTCCACAGTTATATGAACTGGACAGGGACCCAAAGAGAAAAGAGTTTCTGGATGACCTCTTCAGCTTCATGCAAAAAAGAGGTATGTAACTGTTGGGGCGTGTTTGTGTTTGCTAACAAAACCCTGCATCAGTAGACCACATGTAATCAAAGTCATTAGAGTACACTTAAATCCATTCAAGGTCTCATCTGTATGAGGTGTTTATATTCACTCACTTTATCTGCAGTCAGTGTCGTACATAGACTTTAATAGTCGGAGAGATGCCCCCCCCCCCCCTTTAGACATATGACACAGCACCTTCTGCTCATCTTTCACTCACGTGAGAGGATCTTTATTCTTTTTCATAGACGATGGGTTTATGGGTGCGACGCCTCTCATTGTCCCCAGGCTAGAACTAGAAAGGACACCGCGTATCAATGCCTCGGAATAGATTGATTAACCTTTTCATCCATACACACACACACACACACACACACACACACACACATAGTCTGTCTCAACCACCATCTCGGATCTGCACCCGGCTGACACTCACAGTACTGTCACATTCAGGAAACTGGTACATTAATTTTTTCATTCGTTTGTGCTGGGGGCAACATTTTTACAGCTCTTTCCCTTCTTCCTTTGCTCATAAATACCAAACACACTTTTACATTTGACTTAAGGTTGAATTTATGGGTGACATAATGAGAACAGCAGGTAATAGTTGCCGTGAGATATTGGACGTGCTCATAACTGGGGGGAAAAAAACAGTATTAAATGTCACATCCACAGGGGATGGACGCAGCCGCAAAGTCTGCTCTATGAATCTGAGAGCGACATCTGCAGGTCGTATCAATAACTGAGGCATCACTCCTTCAGAAGCAAATCCAGGAATGATGTTATTTCATGTCAAACATGGGCCTGAATGTTTGGCTTCAGTCTGTTTAAAATAATATATCTATAGAGACGAGGACATTCGTCAAAGATTAATAGTATTGGAAATGTTGATTTCGGTTTTTTTCTAATGTTTCTGTCTCATACTTCACGTCATTTACTTGTCATTTCTAGTCTGAAGATAAGAACACAACTTTGTCAGGTTGAGTTACGTCAATCAGACAATCACTGGGTTGTGAAACACATTTAAACTCTTGTCTACTAATAAACAATCGATAGAAATTCCAATGAATTGACACGTTCTTCTTCAGTGAACAATGCTGAAAATAAAAGGGGAATGAATAAAAAAAGAGAAGATAATCTGAAAATCCTTCTTTTACAGTTCTTTCCTACATTTCCCCTGTATGTGTGTGTTCTTACAGGAACGCCAGTGAATCGTATTCCCATCATGGCCAAGCAGGTCCTGGATCTGTACATGCTCTACAGGCTGGTGACCGAGAAGGGCGGCCTGGTCGAGGTCATCAACAAGAAGCTGTGGAGGGAGATCACCAAGGGACTCAACCTGCCTACCTCAATCACCAGTGCCGCCTTCACCCTCCGCACACAGTCAGTGTATACACACACACACACACACACACACACACACACACACACACACACACACACACACAGCTGTTTTTCTCTGGTCTAAATTGTAGCTGCAGAGTTAGTTACATTTGTGTACCGTTGTTTGGTTTACATTCAGTACTTTTTTACACTTAATTAGCTTCACATGGAGCCCTGCTCATTAGAAAGAGACTTTGCAGTTTCAAGATTCTTGTGCCATTATTTAGTTAATTCGTTTATCTCCTTATGTTTTTGTAAATTCCTCAAAATCGTCTTAAAAACCAATGTGAGATGGTTGTAATGACATAACTACAAAAAAAAGCATTTCTTTTATTAGTTTATAATAATGCGATACGTACATTCAACCATGTATAAATCGGTACAACCGCCCTACGACAAGAACCCTTCATTTATGAGGGAGTAGCAATGAGTAGGGAATGAATGAGTAAATGAATTGTGTCCATTTCAGATACATGAAGTACCTCTACCCATACGAATGTGACAAGAGGAGTCTGAGCAACCCCAACGAGCTGCAGGCAGCCATCGACAGTAATCGGCGGGAGGGCCGGCGACAGAGCTTCGGCAGCTCCCTCTTCACCTACTCGCCTAACGGGACGCCCACCATGCTGTCCTCGCCGAAGCTCCTCTCATCCAGCACGGGCCTTAAGGTGGGCACCAACGGGTCCTCGCTGACCCCCCTCCACAAGATCAAGAAAGGTGAGGTTTACATATTATGCTGCACTTACGTCACATGGAATCAGTCAGAATATTTAACAATAATATATGGAAGTGAATCATTGAAACTTGCCTGTACCATTTTGTCTGTGCGACACTCATTTTTGTCTCGCCTGGATAACACAGTTGTCTTTGCGTTAATTTCACCCGTGTTTCCCGCTCTCAAAAGAGGACGGAGGCCACACACTGCCGGGGGGCGGCGCGTCCCGCATGCCAGCCGGCCTGGCGGGTCACTCGATGGCGTCTGTGCAGGCGGCGTCTGTGCAGGCAGCGATGGCGGCTCAAATGGCGGCTCTGGAACAGCTGAGGGACAAACGGGAGGCCGGCGAGCCGCCGGAGAAGAAGATGGCGCTGCCGCCAGAGGAACACCACCGACTGCTGCAGAGAGCGCTGCAACACAACCTGTTGGCCATGACTGCTCAGATACCCATGAATATCCGCATCAATAACCAAGGTACCGGAGTTATTCAGCCAAAACCAAACCGCTTAGACAGCTTTTCTGCCTTGTCTCTAAAGGATAAAGGTGGATTTTAAAATTATATAATAATTATATATATAATTTCAAAATTCATAATCTATAACTATTAGGTTGATGAAAGTAGATCTCCTCTTTGGTCTGAAAATACAGTATATTTTATTTATTTTCCTGTTAAAGAAGGAAAGCCATCTATTCACTATTTTCTTCAACAGACTTGAATATTTGCAAATGATTCCCAAAATATTCATTTGAAACCCTTGGTAATTAATTAGCCTAAAGGTAACATGTGATTTTAAAATCCAGTCTCCATATTTAGAATTACAAAAATCAATCTGCAACAATGGAACAAAATGCATTAATATATGTAATTTTCCCACATCATATCAGGGATGTGTGATGCTGTTGTGAATAATACAATTGATTGTTTACCCCAGAATTTACACAAGCTGGATTCTCCCTCTTCCTGGCAGTTAGTATCTCTAGACGTCTTGCCATCTCACCACAAACCACAGTACCCAACACTGAGGAACTGCAGACCTACATGTTGACCTGTTTAGCTTATAGAAGCACCATACATACATGTGCATGTATGTGGGAATCCCCTTCTGCAGGGAAACACTTTGATCTTATAGAACCGTCGGTCTGGGTTGCTGTATATCTGATTCAACATGCAAACTGTTTCTCAGTACTGATAATACAGGTGACTTCAGAGAAATTTTGCAACGTTTTTGCAAATCCCCACCCAACATAGTTTTTAGAGAGTCTTCTGCTTTGTTTTTTAGAGATATGTTGCTGAAGTTAATGCTGTTCTGATTGTACAAAGTAGTCACTGAGTCTTTATATTGCATAAAACCACTAGTTTCGTCAACGTAGCTTTACTTTGGGGTTTGTCTTTCCTACAGACAGCCGGCAGGACTCGGCCCTGAACCTCACCACCAACGGCACGAGCAGCATCAGCATGTCGATGGAGCTCAACGGAGTCGTGTACACTGGTGAGTGTGGTCGTCATGTGACACAGGAAGTCCGATCTGATCGCTTTCGTTTTTCGCAGAAAATCTGAATGTTTTCCAGCATTATTTTTTTGTCATTATTTGAAATTGTGTTACTGTAAGATAAGAAGTCACTTTCGTGTTTGTGAGTTAAGTCCAGAGATACAGCAGCTACCTCAGCGTGGCAAAATGACTGGAAAACGTTTCGTTTTTAGCCTTGTAAAAAACGTTTATTACTTTAGGATTAGTGATAATGTAACAAGTTGAGGCTGGCTCCATATCTCTACTTTCACATTAAGCTTTGTTTTAAAATAGAGAGGTGTGCCACAGTTTCTAACCTTCGTTTATGGGATTTTGTTTTTCCTTTTCCAGGCGTTCTTTTTGCTCAGGCGGCAGCGGGGTCGGCTTTGTCTGGATCAGCCGCCTCTAACAAGACTGTCGGCAGTCGTGTGGCTCCACAGCAGCAGCAGCAGCAGCAACGACGCACACCTACCTCAACCTCCAGCAACCAGTTGTCTTAACAAACCCACGGCCTTTCCCCTTTTAGTGTTTTTGTTTTATTTCCACGCTAAGTAAAGCCAAAAATCAACCTCATAACCTATGCCAAAAAGAGAAGAACCATACACTGTACAGAAAGACACAAACGGAAAATCAGTCACACTATCTCAGGTTTTCTCTCACTTAACAAACTCCTCTTTTGTTCTTCATAGCCAAAATTATTTCGGAAAAAAAAATTAAATTAAATAATATCTCAACAGAGAGACAGTATATGCTAAACAACTATGAATGCACAACCTGTGAATTATTTATTTCTACAAGTGTACAGAGCAAAAGAGTAGTTAATAACTAGTAAAGGCAATACACTGTTTACACTCACAAACACAGCTACTGATTGACAGCAATGTTTTATCCTCTAGGGGGGAGATTTTATTTTTTATTTTACCTTTTCATTGTTTTGTTGATATTTTACTTTACTGTGTTTTAGCATTTAGATCTTCAATAGTCCTCTCACCGGAGGAAAAAAATATATATTTAGAATTCTATAAAAAAAAAAAAAAAAAAAAAGAATTTCCTCTATTTTTAATCAGAAAAGCTTCTACGGTATGTGTTGTTTCGTCAGGGCATATAACAATCTACCATTGTGACCTCATTCTGTGTAAAACCTTATTTACATGGCAGCCATTTTGGATCTATTTTTAGAAGACTCCAGTAGACATCATATCACAGGTTATCCAGTGAACTATAAAACAACTGGACCTCAATCTGCAAGAATATTAGTTCACTTTTTCACACATTTGAGCATATTTATTACCACCAGAGTCTCTGCAATAGTATTTGCTAGAATTCTATGTAGTTGCAAGTTCAAGCGGCCATTGTGCTTCTTTTCTTTTTCGTGGACAGCAAGCAAAGTCTAATCCTCACCTGCTTGTTCACATTAGGCCAGTTCACTGCATATCTGTGCCAATCTTGCCAGTTGTCTGTCAGACTTACGTTAAAAATTGCCTTTTTAGTAAGCTGGCAAAATGAACTAAAACCTTTTGGGAGATCCGTCTTTTTCTCTCCTCGCAGCACCTCAACCCGCTGGTGGCTTTTCGGAGCCTCAGCGGCATCCACATCCACTGCTGCTGTTTGTGGGTCAGATTGTATGTGAATAATACACATTCACGGCCGTTCTCAGGTGTCCGTCTGCTCATTGCGTTACATGAGGTCTTGACAGAGCGAAGCTTTTCAACATCTTGCTCTGTAGAAAGATCAATTTTCCCCTTTTTATTTCTAATTTTGCCTTCGGGTCAAATCAGCGGATGGACCTGCATTATCAGGTGTCAGGACTTTTGTATTGTAGATTACAAATCCTTTAGTTGTTTTGTTTCAGTTGTTTGTTTTGCATGATTTAGTGCTTCTTCGGTTCCAAGTGCTTCTTATCTTCAGCTGTGACAAGGACCGGGTCACCTTGAGACTGTCAGGAACATAAAGAGAATGTCTTGTGATCCTCCGACTGTTTTTAGATGTTGCTTAATCTGGGTTTTTGACAATGTGATCTCCGAGGCAATGATGTGCTGTGGCTGAGCACTCGCCTGTGTCTTAGCATTTGTCCGGACACTCGCTGCAGTCAGATGTTTAATAAGTTAAGTCAGCCCCATTGCACCACATCATTAGCATGTAGCTGTGTTTCTGCATTTTGTGGGCGATCAATCATTCAGCTTTCTGAACTTTAACCTGTGGAACCCCTTTGGACTGTTAAATATTGTTACTTTGTCCTCACTCCCACTCGCACCCCAATGCAAAGCAGCCTCATTCCTACTGACGTTAGGAAGTAAATCAGGCTTTGTAAATGGGCTCTGTTCTGAGGCCTTAACACAGCGGGAGATGACCAGAGAGCCAGCAGTACCTCCGTCTAATCACTTTTTACTGTTCCAGTCAAATATCCCCAGATGGCTGTCGTGGCTTTGATTCTGTATTTGCTTCTCTGTGGGAAATCACCACCAGCTGCTCCCCAAACACTGGTCAGCTTTGAAAAGTACTCGTTCTAAATGGACAGCCAACCTTCAAAGACACATGAAATCACAAAATGCTCTATTTATCAAACTTAAGTTAGTGGGGAGGGAACGGTCCAGCATTACTTGGTTCATTGCATCCTAGAAAAGAAAAGTGGAGGTTTAGCTGGATTTTTAAAAAAGTTTGTCACAAGCTGAAGGATCATTTTTGTTGAGTTTTGTCTAAAACCAAAGTGTTTCCATATTGAAGGAAGAGGAATTTCGGCAAAATAAGAACCAAACGTGTAAAACTAATTAGAATGTATTTTATATGAGAGGCAGCTAACGAAACAAGTTTGAAATTCACATTTGGTAGACAGCTGATTTTCCTCAAAGGGTCTCACTGCTGAGGCATAAGTTCAAAGCACGTCCACCTGCGCCCCCTACAGGCAGGACAAACAACTACAGCGGTTTTGACTTGCAGAAATGTTGACATCACCACTTGCAGGAGGTGGGTGAACTGCTTCACCTCTATGTCTTCATAGCTGCTGCTTTCTGTGTTGTTGTCTGTTAGATCTTCTCATTACCCCCCGAGCCTCATCCGGCACTTGTAGATTAGGTCAGCTTGCTTATTTTTTCTGCTTTAAAATAATAAATACAAAACATAAAAAATACAGAAAGAGCCATCAAAAAAAGCGAGACAAAAAGTCTGGACACGGCTTAAACCGAGCAGCAAAGCAGAACTAGACGCCATCACTTCTGCATTTTCTTACTGGGTGTCTGATGCTAATGACAAACCGCAGTTTATTTGCTCCTGCCACCTTTCAACCAATGAAATAGCTTTCATGTCAGAAACATTATAAAAATAATTTTACGGATATAGAGCAGATGAAGGTGGCAACATATTGTTGTTTTGCAGAGGTTGCTTCAGTCCAGGAGACGATGAATGAATGAAACACACATTTGATGTGGTCTGGCTAATCTTTGAATAGACCACAGCTAGGACAAGTTAAAATTGAATATACATTTTATGATCAGCTTTCTCGTAGATGCCTCCGTGAAGGCAGCTTTGTATTTAACAAATCCCAAAGTAAAAAGATGATTTCCTTCAGATTGGTGACATACAGAAAGCCGTCATGCCCTCCCTGTCTCCCTGTCTCTTTCTCTCTGACTTCATGAGTAGCAGATGTCACAGTTGCTAGTAATGGCTGACAATCAAATAGAGACGTGCTGTGGCTGAAAACATTAGTTTGGCCGGGGCCGGGGAGGCAGGCCTGCTGGAGACAAGAAAAATTCAATCAATACTGAACTAAAGGACCAACATTGCTTTTTTTTTTTCTTCCAAATTGACCCTGTGACCTTTTGGCCCCTCAGGCAACATTGAAGCACCTGCCCCCCTCAATGGATCCATGTTGATTGTATATATCAATCGACCGGCTTTGTGAGGTATTTGCATTTGAACAGTGGAGGTACTGCATCTCTCCTGCGCTCTCTTCAGGGAACGTTTTTAATTGCGTGGTAGCGACACTCAGGAGACGTTAGGACAACACTTAATACCTCCAAACACTTATTGTGGTTGAAGGGAATACCACAATCAATCCTCGCTTCTACCTCAAAGAAGATTGCTTTGCTTCAGCCACGACAGAATCGTGAAGCTTGAGTTCAAGCAGGAAAACGTCATCAAAAATGCTGCTGATGCAGGTTCACAAAGACTTTGACTATGAACGAGGTTGTAATGACCACAGACAATCAGAAATCCCCTTTTGTTTATGCAAAGGGCCCCAGGAATCATTGGGGGTTCACTTCAAGCCTCAATGTCTTCACTGAGAACTCTCCTCAGTGGAAGGTTTTCGTTATCGACACACAATACGGTCGGATTTCCCTAAACTGATATCAAATCAGGTCTGTGCAGAGACTACAAACTCACAGAAACATACATTTACAGAAAAGTCTCCCCCAGTGTTTCCACGGTCTGTTGATTGATCCCATTGGGATCATAATGGGACATTCAAATCCTCGCCTCAGCGAGGTCGGACATTCATTCACTTCCAGGATTCATTTGCTTATTGAAAACAATAAGCACTTCGGTTTGCCTCGCTTGTTTCTCTGCAGCGGTGGTCAGGCAGGTTCCTCCATATTTAAAGAAACATTGGAGTAATGCTAGCTCTGAAAACTGCACCAGTCTTAACTCTGTATTAAGCCAGAAGATGTTTTGTGTTTTGAAAAGAGTTTGAGGTTTTAGGTCAGACAGGTATTTTTTTCTTCTAAATGCTACCAGCTGCTTTTCATGTGTATGCAGCCACTTTGTTTTCATCATGAGATGGACGTTGCTCCCTCAAGACTAAGTTGGGTATGTCGTTCAAAGTCATATAAATGTGGTGTGGTAATGGAGTTTTGATTCTTGGGTTGATTTATAAAGTATGTGTGTTTGGTGCACTCGTGTGCTGTTGTACAGTTTGGACAGTTTGTATTCTTCATCATGTTCTTAATGCATTTGTCTGTCTTGGAGTTCAATTTCCTGACTAGAAAATAAGAATATATATATTCATTTTCAGGGGCCGACTCCCTCAGAGTCTCTTGTGGTTGGCTTTTTTGCTCTATGCTATAACATTCAAATGTTTACCTTGAACTATTGCCGCTTTCACTCCCACCAGAGCTGTAGCTAAAGAACCACTTGAAACCTTACTAGTGTCTTTCTCGGAAATGTGACTCCGGCTCACATGTTGCTGACATGGAAATTCTTTTTCCCATTTACGGGTTACGGTGCATGTGGGGTTAAGGGGCTTTTGACGGAACTTCACCACTCACTTTAGCTCCATCACGGGAACTGTGGACAAGGAAAATGAGAATTAACAAGATGCATTTTTCTGTGACAATTGTATGAATTGACCTGTATTACAAAGATTCATTAAATAGTTCTGAAATATGCCTGTTTAGCGGTATTATATTATGATCATATTTTTCTTGCTCTTTCTTTGCTTTTTGAAAATATGCTGTAGCAACCTGGCACACAGAGATTTATTAATATTGCGATGATTTGAAGTGCGTGTCGGCTTCAAGTCAACTTCAGAACTGATGCAAGGCTCTTCTCTCTTACAAGTTCTCAGGAAAATCTACCTCTACCTCCACTTTGATGCATTTAACCCAGCTCAAGTTAGTTTAGTTAGTACGCAAGAAAAAGCTTGAGAGTTGAGTCTGAAATTGACTCAACATCACCAGTATTGGTTAGTGTTTTAAGATTAGTTCCAATTAGGTGAACTTGTATGAATTGAAAATATAGTGATGTATTTATATCATTACCTCGACTGGAATGTACTCTCGGCAGATATATTTATCACCGTGGTAAGTGACTGAGAGGTTTATTTTGGACTGGGTGGGTGGGCCTTTCTCCCTGCCTGTTTCTCTTTCTGTGTTACAGGTTTATTTGAACGTCAACAACAGGGAACCTTGCGCTCAACAGCTACTTAGTACTACAACGTGCTGCTCAAGTGCCACTGTTAGTACTAGGAGTGGCTTTTCAGTCTTTTGTATTTTATATTAATGTGTGCTTATTCGTCTTTCTATAAATACTAATGTTTTGGATGAATGGGATGTCTTCATGTAACCACAGTCACAGGGAAGTGGCGGTGGGAAATGCAACTTTTTGTTTTATTCGTTTTTTGCAGGGTGAAAGCTATTATGGTCTATATACTCAATGTGTTTGTGTGAAAACGCTTATTTTGAATCTGAAATTAATTAAATATCACCTTTCTAAATGTTACTAAAGTTGTGGATGTTTTTCCTATGAGATGAGATGAGATGAGTTATATGAAACGTGTTCAATCCTTTTTAATGGGTAGCTCAGCCTTTATTTAAAATCTGTGTATTGTGTTGACGCTGGCGCCAAAAGGTACTTAATGCTCAGCATCAGCCCTTTACAAACTATTTTACTTCACAAGGCTAAACTCCGTTGCAGTTAATTCTGTATAATGAGGTAGTCCATTTTCATGTTTAATTGTTTCATAGTGGTTAATTTCCAAGAGAAAGATGTCCCTTGCATTGTTGTGGACTAGAAGTAGCATTACTGTTGCATTACAGTAGTATTACATTACATTCAAGTTGTCCGACAGCATTTGAGTTAAAGTATTTATACACTCCAACAACTGTCCAACTTGCCGATGATCTGAACACCCTTTCTAGCGCTATTGATGACGACCAGTAGCTGACACAACCTGCAACGTCACCCGAGTGTCGCGTCGACGCTCGGGCTTTCTGAAGCTCCGCCCAATAATGGTGCCCGCGCCAGTGAACCTATCGCACCCCGGCAGATTCGAATTATTCGAGCCATCGATGGGCGGAGCCAAACAAAAGCGAAGCCCGCTGGAGGAAGGAAGAAGAGCCGAGTACAGGATTTAGAGAAGTTAGATTAATCACAGTAGGGTGGTTTGTGTGTGTCAATGGTTTTACAGGTGCCCCTTGAAGAACTAAAATGAGACTTCGGTCTCAGAGAACCCTGCGGGTTAACGCTACGTCTGGCTCGGAGACGCCGCGGAGCAACGGCCGAAAGGTCAACAAAGCGACGCCGAGAAAACCAGTCTTTCTGGGCACCGAACGCCCTCTCCAAACAAAGGTGACACACTAGCCCCTCGCTATCATTGGTTTCTCCAAAATGTAATCGAAAGCAGTAGACGACGCCACGCGTTCCATTTGTGGATTTAGCTTAACTAACGTTAGTTAAACTAAGCGAGTAATGTTAGGCCTCACCGTGTGGTCCGATGCTAGGGACGTTGGTTGGCTTTGCTAGCCGGTGTTGCTGTAACACCAGACGGCGTTGCTAACGTTAGCTACTAACACAGTAGCTGCTGTGTTTACGCGATATAGAGACAATACGTGGCTTTTCTCCCCGCTTCATGTATGTTCACTGCCCACTCGTTTTGTCGTTATCGCTGTTCGTGCGCTCAACTGGTAGAGTTAACCATGTTTCCACTGTATTGGGCAAATCAAGCTACACAGCGAACATGACCACATTGAACATGGGCGACGTGACGATGGCAGCAAACGACTATTAGCCATCTAATTGTGTAATCATAATGAAGTAATGAGAGCGAATGAAGGCCCTCTCCCGTCTCGATACTCGCTGTGTTTGTTGACATCGCCGAGACGGCCACACGTGCCCGTGTACACGTGAGCGCGCCCCAGACGGAAGCGCGTGACGCCATTCCGTCATCACCGTGCTGCGCTCACTGCTAGCACCGTTAGCAATTTGAGAGTCAATCAAAGTTGCTGCAGCAGAGGAATAGACATGCATCCTATTCAAAGTTGGTTATTAGATACATTCCTTTTGTAATGACAAAATAAATGTGAATCAGAATTTTAGAAAAAGCTCAATTTAAAAAAATCTCCACCATCATATTGTGCAGCAAGTTTTTATTTTGAAGCTTTTCTTAACTAGATATCAATAATGGCAGTCGTGTAGTATTCATGTTGGCGTTGGGCGATTTCAAATGCTCAGGCTTAATGCATAAAGTAGGACAGTGCGATTTATACCCGGACATTTACTGAGGCAGTGTGTGATTTCAGTATTCCTGCATTAAAGTTCTGTTTAATTATTTATGTTTCACAAATATTTGGATGCATTTTGGTCTTGCAAATGTAGCGAAACAGGCTCTGTAAAGCATTTCAGGTGGTGTTTGGTATGTTTGTCCCAATATGTTTTTGACAATTCTAATTGTTCTTGTTTTCATCACTGATTAAGAAAAATAAACCGTCTCAAACCTTTACTTTGCAGAATAAAGAGGCTGTGGATAGTGACAATAGTAACCACGGTGACGGCGATGACGAAATTCCCACAATGACCAGGCGTCCACTGCCCCGTGGCCGGGCAAGGAAGAGAGTCATTGCTGTTGATGACAGAGAGACTGGTGTGTGTTTTGTTTTTTTCCTGAATGTAAATTATTTCATTGCCTACTGCTCCTTTTTGAAAAGAAAACATCTGTCTGACTGTCTTCTTGTGGTCTAGATTTGGCATTCAAGACTCCGAGCAGACCCACCATGCGTCGTGAGCGCGTACTGTCGGAGATCGACCCAGTGTCTCCTCACAATACGACATCCCGAAACATCTACTCGCCCATTGTGCGTTTCCTCACACCCACTAAAGAGAGTGAGTACAGCTAATGCCACTGCTGATCTACGGGGGTTGGGGGGTAGAGCTTTGATCCAACCAAATGTACCAATAGATGTTTTGTTTACCGTTTGGACATGTTGTTGTTGTTTTTTCTATTCAGATGTGAAGCGTGCTGGAAACAACGTGTTGCTGAGCCCCGAACAAGGCGTGTTTGGTTTTGCTGCCATCGACCTTCTCGTTGGAGAAGAGGATGACGATATCTTCAATCCGTGAGTACAGAGCCTCCTTCAGACCCATTCACATAACTATGATGGTAATTTAACAACCCTACACCCCTAATGAGTTAAGAGACTACCACTCTAAATGAAAATGCAGCAGTCTTCTTATGTGAGGCAGGTTCTTTTAAATAGTGTTTTTTGCGATTATTCTTGTGATTTTGAGTGTTTATATTCTTTTCCAGCTTTGTATTCATCAAAAACATACCGTCGCAGTCGCAGCACACTCAGCCCCAACTCCGAGACATTCCCCCCAAGACCAGGAGCACCCCGGAGGCCACGTTGGTGATTGACCTGGTGAGTACGATCAAGATGGGCACAACAAGCCAGAGACAATGAGGGCTGAAAGTATTTGTAATGAGAAACAATCTTTCTAAGTTTGCCTGTTTATCGAATAATGTGTATTTGAAATGAAGCAGTCGATATATGGCTAAAGTGAAGACTAGAAGCCTTAATTTGCTTGGAATTGGAGCCATTTTACAAAAATTCCATCATTTTAAGCGTTGCCAACATGATTGAACAGTTGTCTGAAGCGTGCGTGGTGAGGTTATGCCTGTTTCCCTGTTCTTCATGGACACATTATGCAGAAACAAACTAAGTCCCATTGATCCACGTGTTTGTAGGAGGAGACCCTGATGTTCAGCTCTCTGAATGTGATCGAGGAAGCAGAGTACACGTTCCACACAGCGTTCCAGGACCACGAGTACAAGGTGAACGCTCACTGAATGTTTGAGTCTCAAGTGCGCTGAACGTACGATCCCATGTGGAGCCATGAATGACAGATTATCTCAGTGTTAATCCTAAATTAGTCAGGGTTGGCAGGAAGCAGGAGATATGATACTGCTCTTAATGTGTAGAAATACAGAGACTAACAACAACACTCCTCTCCATGTTGTCTCTTATTTTCATTCAGTAATCAGTGATTTGAGATGGTTTAACGATACAAATTCATTGTTCATTCCAACTGTTTCTTTCATTTGCAAGAAAATACCTTTTTGTTAATTTTGTTAATCCAGATTAGGTGTACCAGAGACCGTTTTAGACACTTGGATGGTTTTGACACACGGGATGTGAATATATCCCAACTTTTCTCTTCTCTCCACACCCTCAGGTGTACGTGATCCTACGGCCACATGTCAAAGAGTTCCTGCAGTCAATGGCAAGAGTCTATGAGGTAGAGTTTATCGGACGGATGATTAAATGATGCAGTCTTTTTAGCGACGCATTTGGCTTTAGGCCAGTACGTCTACTTATGTTTACTCACTCACCTCCTATTTGTTTGTATAGTTGTCATTGGTGAATGTAAAAAAAAAAAAACAACTACAAGATGTGCTGTGAAAAATAAGAGATTCTACTTTTAAAACGTATCGCACTACTTTCTCATCTATTTTTATTTGAACCAATATATTTTCAAACTTTGCTTTCCCTAATCGTATTTTTTTAATTAAATAAAACTCAAAGTACTTTTAGGAGGCTTGTTTGGAATTGGTTCCAGCTGCTGTTTGTCTTCTGTTCCAGCTGTTTGTTTACACATGTGCCAAGAAGGAATATGCAGAGAAGATACTGGATATTCTGGATCCCCAGAAAAAGCTTTTTCGGTATGTTTCCCTAAAATCTGCTTCCACTTGTGTTTCATAAACTCTGTGCTCGGCGCAGGTTTACCGGCCTCAGCCAGCGAGTCTTGGCCTCCTGCCGGGGCGCAGAACACCGTCCTCCTGACGCTCCTCCAAAGGGGTTTGGATTCAAGTTGTTAATCACGTAGACGAGGTGTAGAGATGAACAGACCATCGACGATGAGGACATTTAGACATAAAGTCCAGAGACTTCTGTCACCCCCACACAGAAAGTTTATTCTGTACACAATCATAAATGTAATTCATCAAATGACGGTGCTTGGTGCAAATGAAACCGTGTTGATGTCTTCTCTTGCAGACATCGCCTGTATCAGGACGACTGCGCCTGCGTTCTTGGCCACTACATCAAAGATCTCAGCATCCTCGGGAGGGATCTTGCCCAGACGGTTGTCCTGGACAACGCACCTCACACATACCCGTACCATGTAAGCACTGTGATTTTGCATGCCGGTTTTAAAATGTTATATCTCTATTGGAACTACACTGTAACTAGACTTAAAACCCCGTTGCATATTAATTTAACCCTTTTGGTGTTCTTGCAGCTGATGAACACCATTCCAATCAAGAGCTGGTCCGGAGAGTCGGAGGACCGAGAACTCCAGAAGCTCGTCCCCTACATGGAGAAGCTGTCTGCAGCGGTACGTCTGTCGTTTTATCAGCTTCGGATTATTACAAAATCCACGCTTTTTCTTAAAATGTAATGTTTTTCATTGTAACGTCGTACTATAGTTTGAAAAGTTTTTTTTTTTACCTTCATTTCTATATGTTTTTGTGTCAGTGAAGGCTGCACATGTTTCAGTCAGTTGTGAATAAGACAATGAGTTATCTTCTGCACCATCTGCTTTCTTTCCTCCCTGATTTCATTATTCATCTCCTGTGGTGTTTTTTCAGGAGGATTTTCGGGAGGAGCTTAAGAAGAGGAAGGATCACTTCCACAGGCTGCTGTCAGAGGACTAACGGACCCCCCCCCCCCCCCCCGCTTCCTCGCTTTAACTGCTTTGTAACTTTCATGGCTCATGTTTTCCTTATGCTTTGGCCAGAATCAGCATCCTGTGAGAACTAGCTAACCTTTTGGTGGCGGACCTGCTGTCCCTCCTCTCTCTTAGATCGTCTTCAAAAGACGACACGTCGGTATTTCAGACATACTGCCGGTCGTTTGTTACCAAAACCCATTTCGTCCAAGACTCATCGCACAGGTTAATAAACTGTGGTCCAGGGTTTGTTTATATTCACATGAAAAAAATATGTTTATAGGCATAATCTATTAATTTATTGATTCTATTGCTCTTCAACTGCTGTTAATCTCTTTATATTTTAGATTTGCTGTCTTTGTATGCAATAAAATCACTGATATAAAATAATTAAGCATAGATAATTTTTGTGGCATGTATGCTCTTTCCGTTGAGGGAAATAGTAATTGATTAAAATTGCATTTTCATAAGATTATGGTCAACAGTCTGCTGGTGTTTCATCAAAGTGAGGTACTCTTGTGGTTCGTCATTTAGGCATCTCTGGGTTTTCAGTGGTGTTTCTGATGATTTATTTTCTAAAATATAAAAGCAGATTTTACTGCGTAGCAAATGAGACTCATTGCTTCCTGTGCTGGAGAAAAGAGAATAGTTGGGATCCCTTTCAGAGACGCTTTAATGTAACTGAATAAAACTGCAGTTTCTGAAAATCTAAAAGCAATTGAAGAGAAAAGGGGTTCAGTTGTAGAGCACATTAAATCTGACCAATAATTCACTATAATGATTCAAGTTGTATAATATAGAAATAAGATCTGCTTATACTATAGTGTACACAACTATCCATTAATAAATAGTGCAAATGTATTTCAGCAAATAAGCCAAGAGGACCGAATGCCCAATGAACTTGTTGATTCTAATGATATAATAGTAATAAATCCCAAACTTGCTCAGCGCAGTAAAGTAATCACTGAGTAGAAGAAACCACCAACCTGTGTGAACATTACAGCAGTACTGAGGTTTAGTTTGAACCTAAATGTTTACGCTGGTGTTTAGTCAAACTCGTGTTAGTGATGAATGCGATTGTTAATGTTGAATTTGGAGGTAAACTGAGACTTAAGTGCCTCCTCCTCTTCCTCCTCGGCCTTTATTTGCTCCATATGGTGTTGGACATGGTACCCAGGAAAGAAAAAAAAACAAAACCCCTTTTGTGGGCGGAGGGAAATCCTAGTATTTTGTCCGTCCTGAAATTTGATTCAGAAGTTCAGGATCCTGGAAGACAAAAAGCAAACGGAGGGGGAGGGAAGAAGGGACGAGAAGGACTTAAGAGGTTGTTTTTTTTTTTTACAGCGAGAAGAGTAAACTCACCAAATACTCTGTAACCTCCGACCAAAGTAAGTCCATCTGTACGCGGCATGCTCCTACTGAAGCCAAGCGTTTCGTTGAGTCAAATGAATTCACGCGTGGTTCTGAAATCCTCTCGCTTAAAGGTTTTGATCTGAATGGCCTCATAATATAAGGTTTCAGCGCTGCTATTTGAGAGAGACGTGTGCGTGTCCTTTTACGCGCACATTCACGCGGGCGCCTTGGATCTATTTATCACCAACTTGGGTATTTCCTGCAGCCGCTGCAGCGGAGCGCGCTTTGCTGCAATTTAGTGCAGGAGAAATTGTAGAGAATTGAAGAGATCGTTGCTGAGCATCGGGAGAACCGTCATTTTCCAGCGGGCAAGCACGATGCCGCCTTACGCGCGCGGCTCCGCATCCACGATGAGGTCCACTTGGATTTATCGTGACCCGATCGATCATCGTCATTTGCGCGCTGCACATGGTAAAGTGGCCCTTTTGTTTGAGAGAAACCATCGCCGCCGCAGATTTGCGTGCCGATTCTGCACCACATTTGGAAGTGCGCCAAAAAACACAGTCAGATGAAAATGCTCTAAACTCAGTCTGCAGATGTCAATGAAAATCTCGGAAATTCACCCTGCAGTTCTAATGGAGGCAGACCAAATGGCACCACGGTGTTATTTATCAGATGCCTCTGAAGTTTTTATATTGTAGCGAAAAAGTATTTAGACCAATTGCTTTAGGAAAAGCATTCCTTATATTCTTTATATATACTTCATAGCAAGTTAAAGTTCTGCATTCAAGTTGCTCTCGAATGGTTTTATTGGCAAAAAAAAGATCATACAGGATGTCAATACGTTTATTATTTCGGATCCCCCCCATACACACACACCTAAAGGGTTCCACGATGCATTTAAGGCGATTGGATATGTAGTGAAATACTTCAATACTTTAACTTTCTTAATTAAACAGGCATCCTAAATAAATTAGAAATTAATCAGTCAGCTTCTAGAAATAAAACAAGTAAGTCAAATACTTTCTAGGCCTTAAAATCCCACATGAACCCACAAGGTCAAAACCTGAGCTACGGGGTCACAAGCTATAACGGTTGGGAACTGTTGTGCTAAAATGCTGCTGCGTCACATAGCTGCATGTGTGTACATTAGAAACACTGAGGTCAGGAAGTTCTGGAATCAAATTCTAGTGGAGAGTTTGAACATAAAAAGCTGACTATCAAAACTTATTATAACAATTATAATTAGCTCAAATGTGTCTTTACTTTCTTGCAAAATATGAAGCAACGTATTTATAAGTTAGCCGAATTTAAGTATTTTACAAACTAATACTTACATCTTACTGTAGGAATCACTTATATAATAATAAAATATATTCTGTCGACATGATGACATTTTTGATACAGGGGTAGAAATAGGTATTTTTGACCGTGTGTCGTTCTTTTTTGGAGCTGTTAATTAATCATGTAATTCTTCAATGTATATTTTTGTATGAAAATGCTCCGTGAAGATAAAATCTTAAATGATGAAAAAGTGCAACCTGCAGGCTGCGTTACCTTACAGAGCAAGATAAACTCTGACATCCTGTCAGCGCTGATGATTGTACAACCACAGACGCATCAACACTGATTTCCTTTATTCCCCTCAGAAAAGCCCCTTTCCTCACATGGCCAGTTTTCATATCACTCCACATAAAGTCCCAGTTAGGTTCTTTTGGAGGGTAAATGCTGCCTTTGTTAAAAGTGGTAAACTGAATATTTTGAAAACAGAATTATTAAGGGGCTTGAAAAGTAAAGAAGAGAATGTTTTAAACGGGTGATGTGTCGTCTTTCGTTGCCACGAGACACTTGAAAAAAGTCAATAATAACTCCATTTGATAAAAGATAAAGATGCTCCACCCACTTGAATGAGAAAGGAGGGGGTGTTTTAGTTTGGTGTTTCTAACTGGTTTGTGATCGGTTTCTTTGTGCCGACCTCTTCCTGCTCCTCTCAGGCCACTATGAGCACCTCAGGGCTTCAGGCCACCAACCAGCAGAACGTGAAGGAGCTCGACAGCATGAAGGAGTCCATCAGCGACATCATCAACCAGCTACAGGACATCGACCCGACCAGGCTCTCCTTCTCCCCTTTCCTGGACCTGGACACTCAGATCTCCTTGGCGCCCGTATCAGACAGCCCCGAGTCCTCGGTGGAGGAGCTGCACTCGTCCTCCCACTCTGTCAGCGGCTCCCAGCGCTCTCTTGAACCGCCACCAGCGCCTAATCAGCCAAGAAGTGAGTTATTACCGATGTTCTTTACTGTCTGTCTGAGGGATGTGCAGGATTTGAGGGGAGACTGGATCAAATTAAAAAAGGCTCGAGTTGAGTTTTGCGTCCAGACCGAATCCAAAAAGAGATGAGACTAAGTCCGGGCTGATTACGGCGGAACAGCAGTTAATAAGCATGGAGGGTTTTTTGTGTAGACCCACCTGCAGGAGCACAACATTCATGCCTTGCATACAAGTTTTGGTATAATAATAAAAGTCGTTTATAATACTGGTGCAGACATAAGAAAGTACTATGTGGTGGTAAAAAGAAACATCTTATTGACTTTTGACTTTAATTTGTAATAAGTGAATTACCGTTGAACAAGAACCCAATTGTTAACTGGCCAGAGCCCAAACAGGCTGGTCCACATTTTATATCTATTGATATTCTTGCATTGGAGTACTGGTTGGTGTGTCTGTGTACAACATAGCAGTGGGAACGTAAAGCAGGTGACAGGGAACTGTGGCAGTGGGTGGTGGAGGGAAATCAGCAGGGGGCCCAACAGCATTTCACCTCCTATGGTCAACAGGTTAAACCAGCCATTCGTCCACCTCTCCAAAACGTTATACGAGACCCTGACATGCAGGAAGTGAATGATTGATTGGTTTGAGTCTGCGTTGGATGTCTCAGAATGTGCCCCTCTTTGAACAGGCTCCGCTCCGTGCCACCATCAGCCCAGCGACGACCTCCAACAAGAGCCACGCGCAGCTCAGGCGGAGGAGGGGGAGCTGAGTCCAACTCCTCCCAGTCCCACCGTCGCAGCGCACAATCTGGACGCCGCCGCTGAAGACTGCGTCAGCCCTCCAGCCCCGGCCTCCCAGGGAGACCTTCCCAACGGCACAGATCCGCTGAGTTGGAGTCCGGGTTCCACCAATCTGGACTGCACAGCGGACGAGGGCCGACCTCTGATAGGTCCGCCGCCGGAGAGTGTGGAGCTGACCGTGTGGAGCGCGGAGGGGCGGGGAGACACTTGCGAGGCCACAGATGAGGCCTCCGATCTGGGACGATGCTGCTGCTGCCGATGCAAGTGCTGTCCGAGCGGCCGGGTCCAAGCTTTCTTCTCGGTCCTGGCGTCTCTCCTGTGTGCAGCCGGCATCCTCTATGCACTCTATTTCTACGTCCCCATCAGACCCCCGGACTGCCCCGACACAGCCAGCCGCATGGTTTTCACTCTGTGCTGCTGCGTGGTGGCAGCCGTCCCCATCCTGCTCGGTATGCATCACAAACCTGACGTATAAAAAGAAAAAAAACAACCGTGGGAGCCTCACGAAAGACGAGATAATGGTTAAGAGGGGATTTGGTTTGTCTGGCCTGCCTAGTCGCGGAATGTTTCAATGTCCCCTGTCACCTTTAATTTCAAGTGCGCAGCAGACGTCTCGCCTCTGGAGAGGAGCATAATTTCCTTCTCCTGCACAGAGCTTGAAATGGAAACTACAATAAGGGTTTGGCTCTCATCTCCCAGGCTTTGGCCTAATTGTTCAGAATATTTGAATCCATTTCCATCCTGGGACGTCCAGAAACCAGCTGGCAGGTGGCACCCAAGGCAAAAAGCCTGTCTAGATCCTCCCATCCACTTGTCAAATGGAGGAGAGTGAGGAGGATTTGCATGCGGGCTCCTCTGTAGGCTCGGCAGTTACTGTATTCAAATGGAGATGATTATAACGAGTGCTCTGTCAGACAACATAAAGTGCAACTAGGCGTTTGTTTGCGGAGAAAAGGCCGCGATTCAAGCCCTGCAATGACTCATCACCCCTTCTTCTTCTATCCCTCCGCAGCAATGCTCATGGGAGCAGCGTGCCAGTTCTGCACAGCCTCCTTCGGTTTGCGGGAGTCGTTTCCACGGAGACGGGCGGTGCAGCAACTGTTTGTCACGGCCTCCCTGGAACAGTTACTGCTCTACGTCCTCAACCTCGTCGTCATGGCCGCTTTACTGCCTGAAGACCAGCTGAAGTTGGTGCCGATACTGGTTGCCATGTTCATCTTTGGAAGGTGAGACTCAGGGAGTCTCTAAAGAGGCAGAATGTCACTGTTTATTAACCAGAGATAAAAAACAAAAACAACCAACTATCATATCAGTTCCCTCCAATAGGTCATGGGACAACTTAAAATGTAGTAATTTACCATTGACGTGTTTTCACTTTTTAAAAAGGTTTTCTGAATACCTCTTTTCCCTTCTTTAATCTTGCTTCATAAAACACAGTCAGGATGGTTTTGAGTGTTGATCTAAATTCCTGTTTTATGTTCAACCCTCTGCAGGCTTGTTTACTGGATCAGCCTGAGCGTGTGCAGCCCCTGGCGAGGCTTCGGCTCCGGCCTGACCTTCTTCCCGCTACTCGCCATGGTGGCTCTCAATCTGTTCCTCATGTACACCCTGAATCTCAAAGAGCCCATTTTTGTCTCTCAGGACGTCCTCTATAATCAGGTCACCCCCTCTTCCTGGTTAGGGGAGACATCACAGGAGGGGCCGAGTGGCAAACCAGACATCCTACCCACAGACATCCTGGTCGCTCAGTGAGGAGGCGAGCTGCGCTTTCTTCTTTCGGAGGAGGAGATCTTTTCCCAAAATAGGCCATTCCTGTGGTTTGCAGTTCAGCAGAGCAACACACGCTGCGACTATAACCTCCAAGTCTGTGACAGCTTAACTTGTACTTTTGCTCCTCCTATACAGGACTTCTTTTTTGTTATGTGGATACATGATTATTATCAAAAATGAAAAAGCTCTTTGCCTGCTAGTGGCGGAGGAGGCCTTTGAACAATGTTGTAACATTTCTCCGTTAAGCTATTTCACTGCCTATATTTAATGTTTTGAACCCTAAGTACTTAAAAGCTTGGCTATATTTATGGCTAATTTGGTTTGACCTGAAAAGACACAAGCCGTGAAACTGCAGTTTCCAGACTTTGTTGTGATCTTAACATGGCCGGTAGGTTTGTACATGATGAAGAAAGAATAAAAGCCCTTTTTAAAAACATCTTTTCCAGTTAGTTTTCGGTTCCTTCGCTGGCTTTGACCGCTTTGACTGAGCAGCTATTATTGGAAAAACTGCAGAGTCTGTTTTTAGTCTGTGGGACTGTCATTATGTGATAACATGCTTTCAATGTTCTCTGGTTGCTCTGGATCTCCACCCTGCTGGTGTCCTCTCTGCTGCTTCTGCTCATGCCGCTCACGCGGTTTGTGGCGAAAATGAGGCCAAAACAAAAACAGAATTCTGAAGATGGCTGCATTTACTTATTTTAACCTTCTAATCTCAGGCGATTGAGCTTTTGAAATGACTTTAATTAAAGACACATCCTTCAACTTTTGTCAGCCAGAAATGCTTCAGTGGCAGATGAAGGCAAAAGATGTCTCTAAAAAGTCGTGTCTTTCTTTCATGTGGGATTTTTTTTTTTACCCAACGCACCAGATTCTACCATTTTTGTATTGTTCTGCCTGCAGGTCAGACTAAGTAATTATGTTTAAAGTGTGAGCTTATACCTGTGGGCAAAGCTACCTTTAATGCAACCAAACCTGTCACTCAAAATGAAATGCTACTTTGCCGGTAACAACGAGAGGGTCTTTCATACCACACAAATCCGGCTACTGCAATAAAACCTCAGTCCGCAGCAAATGCAGAGTGGAATATCCAGTGTTTTCATTCACCACGAGGGTCATGTAACACTAAGTACATACCTGCTTTACTGTATTTAACTCAATTCCAACCGACCCTGTTAAGTTTCCAAACTGTCAATTATTTTGTTTTTTGATGAGAAAAAGTTTCCCCTATTACAATTTTTTTTCTGCCTTTCACTATTGGTATTTCTCTTTACAGAATCTGAGCATAAATCCTGTTTGTTTTTATTTAAACATTTAACACAAGGCAAACTCTGCATAAATGTGCAACTTGTTACAGTTACAAAAACACATACTATGGCCTGCAGCACTTAAATTAAACTAAATAAATGTAAAATAAGTGAATATTCTTTATATAAATATCATCAATATGATCATCAATTTTTCCAGTGTTAAGTTTGATAGCACATTACCTGCAGGGCCACGCTGCTCTGCCTCCGTTATGCTGTTTTACTTCGGCCTTGTGGGATATAGGATATGTTCTTTTAAATCCAGTGAAAGTCGGTTTTACTTTTCTTTACATTTATCAGCTCCAATGGAAGCTTCCCGGTAAAACCACAGCCTGCTGCAGTCACCCGCTGTCCAGCTCGCGCTCAGGTGCCAACTGTATACAGCGAATCCTGCTCAGATAGTTTCTGATACTGATTTATTAAATTACAGAAACGTGTTTGTTACGATAACAAATATCACGGATGCAGCTAAAGCAGTAGAGCGGTAAAGTGGAAGTATGAAACCAATTCCCTCAAACACTACATGTGTAGATTGGGCTGGAAGTCCATATACAATTATTTCCTGTGGAGAGTGTGGCCTAGTAGTGTACACTGCTCCATTTAGTTTTCTTTAGTTTAAATACATTTCAATGTAAATGTCAAAGAAAGGTTTTGAAATACGTATATAAAAAGAATGCATTTAAAAAGTATTTTGCATTACACCCACTTGCCCCACTGGAGGGAGCTAAACAGTTGTAACAAAGACTGAGTCATTACCAGTATCCAGATCCTCTATTTATGTATATTTGGCTATCACATTGAAAACAGATGTCCCTGTATGTCAGTGTTGTCCAATTTATGGCCGCAGCTCTCGCCGAGGACAGTGAGAGCCCTTCTTCAGTGTGGCTTCTTGGTAGTTTTAGCAAGTAGGCCTATAATACACCAAGTGTCTTTTGAGGCCGATTCTGAAGTTTCATTATTTTGAGTCAATATGCTTAAATTTGACTAGTTAGCCATGACCTCCGCACATTTTTGAATATATATATATATTGTTATTTTTTATTTTTTTTTATCGACTGAATCAGCTAAACATATTAAGGATAAAACAGCTCAAATATTATCAGTGGCGTTCAAACGCGACACAAAACCCCATATTCTAAAAATCCATATTCTGAGCTGCAGCTTGACGTTCTGTGGTTTAGGTAAACTGGGTGATGACGTCACAGCAGCGCCCGCATCAGCTCGAGCTCGTACATGGCCAGGAAGCAGTGTGACGTAACCAGGACCCTAAAGATGGCGGCGTTAGTTGGTGAGTGATGTTTTGATCATACGTACACCCTTTTAAAAGGTAGTACAGTGTTTTTGAAAGCGCATGTTACCTGCCGTATTTCAAATAAATGAAATACGAGTGGTTTAACGAGTGCGTTCACTGTGTAAGTAATCGGATTTGTAAGTTTTAGTGAATCCGCACACTGACCTTGCTCTGTCTGCGTTAGCATGGCGGCTAACATGGTTAGCGCTTACGTGAACTCCCACCTTAAATCCCAGTAACGGCCCAAACGCGAGCATTAGCTTTCACTCTTAATGACATGTGTCTTCTGGAAACGAACCCCGGGTTATGTGTCTTTTAGCATGTTTCATCTGCATGGTTAGTGGACTACCATACCATCAAGCTAACGTTACATGTGTGTCCTCCGCAACGGATACGGTTGCCTAACATGACCAGTCCTCAAAACGGCGCGTCTGGGGTTGAATTATCGCTCGGGGGCTTTTTTAACACGATACGATATTTGCATTTGATTCAAGCAGCCCATGACAGTGTCGACCAGAAGTTGATACACTATTTAAGTTAAATGTACAGTACAACGCAGAGGGGTGACGTTACATGTAGATATTTAGGTCACACTTCGGGCAGCACACTCGGCTCTACGCGAGGCTGCAGTGTATAAACACTTGTTTTTTCTGCTCAAATTCAAGGTAACGAGTTATATGTCACACGGGAACGTGCAGCTTTTGATGCATCTTAAGTGCTTAACATAACCTTACATCACTGTTAATATAAAATGACTTAATTTTGTGAAATGCTTTTATTTTGCAGCGCCCCGTTTGTCCATGTTTGGCTGCTTTTCAACGAGGTAAGACACTCTCTCTCTCAGTCCCACTGGTCAAACAGCTGTTATGATAACAATCACGTTACAAGGAAACCTCTTTCATACCCACACAAACACATTTAGTATATATATATATATATATATATATATAACATGTTTCACCTCAGTATTCTAATATTGCTCTGTAGTCAACCCGTTTTTGGGACTTTCCATCCTTTCCTTCACCGTTGAATGCATGCGATTATCAAGATAGTTGTGTATCCTTCTTGACCCATTAAGTTAATTTGCTTTAAATACTTTTATTTCAAAGGTCTATTTCAGTGTTTGCTGTCCATCAGAGAAGTCTGCACAACGGTGCAAAAAGTGAGAACACCACCACGAGGTGAGTTTACCCAATGTACTCTGGTGTAAACAACAGAATGGAGCACAGACCCTAGGTAAACCCTCTGCACACGCTAAAGATCCCCTGCCTCCTTTTGTCGCAGCGTGGTTCCAGTCAGGGAGAAGAGCACGGCGGTGGCAGCCGCCAAACCGTCAGCTGTAGCCAGCAGCAAAGGGGAGTATGCCATCACTAAGCTGGACGACTTGGTTAACTGGGCACGCAGGGTGAGTAGATGAGACGCTGGCGGCTCTGTTAACACCCACATACGTGGAGTGAATGCATCATGTCTGCAGTGTTTTTCTGTCCCCGGAATGTCATGTGACTCCACGGCAGTGTATGGTTGGTGTTAGTCTGAAATTTCACATGGTCGCCGCTGATGCCTTTTGTTACTGGATATCTTTGAACTTGACCCCCATGAACCTGATCAATTGCTTTTACTCCATGCAGTGTATCCCTTGGAAAATACCTAAAACAAAAAACTGCTTTCCCAATCTGCCAAACACAGAGAGAATAATGTTTTTGCTGGTTATGCACTAATTTGAAGATGGAACTTTGGGTCAGGACCATGAGTACCTGGATTCACGTGACTGTCCTGTGAGTGTTTTGTTGACTTATTGCTGCTCTATTACTCTCTCTCTCTCAGAGCTCCCTGTGGCCTATGACCTTCGGCCTGGCCTGCTGCGCCGTGGAGATGATGCACATGGCGGCGCCTCGTTATGATATGGACCGCTTCGGTGTGGTGTTCAGAGCGAGCCCTCGACAAGCGGATGTCATGATTGTGGCTGGAACGCTGACCAATAAGATGGCTCCCGCTCTGCGGAAGGTGAGACGAACACCAGCGTCTTTCATATAAATGTCATTCAACTTAGTTGTCAAACAATACCCCGAAGGCTGATTCCGGTTTGATTTCCAGTCTGGGAACTGGAGGATGGCAGCGCTGGGAACAGTATAGCTCTTTTAATGCCGGCTGGATTATGACCAGCCTGTGACTAGAACGTCAGACTGTCGTGAAGCTTTCCTCCAGCTGAAGTGACGGATTAGCTCTTAGTCATACTTTACAAAAGAGTGACTGAACTGCTTCTTTCCGACAGGTGTATGACCAGATGCCCGAGCCAAGATACGTCATTTCCATGGGAAGGTAAGTTCCCAGTAGTGCTCCCCCCACTTTCTCTGCGAAAAACACCTGCTGGTCATCTGTAATCTATTCTGTATATTTAACGTATACTCTGTTTTTGAATGTTTAGCTTTACTGTAATCTGGTTTACTCCTGAAATTGCCTAATTCTTGTTTTATGGGTTTAGAGTTCGTTTTTCTGCCACGAGAAAGATGTTCATGACCCACCGCAATTTTTAAATGTTATTGAAATAACATTTTGTGACTCCTATCTATGCTTTTTCATTTTAAAGTAAACCAGATTGCTCCATCAGTGATACCACAAATAAAATGTCAAACCATCTTGCTAGAACAATGCAGATAAAGTCCTATTTGTGCTAAACCCAACACAACCTTTTTGGCGCCGAACGTTTTTTCAAGATAACTATAAAGTTCAGCCTTTTGGGGGAAAAAAATAATAATAATTTAAAATATTTGTCAGTTTTTTTTTTTGTGTTGCATAAAACCAAAAGTAGCGCAGATATGTATAAGCCATCTCACACTGATAGAACACGTTTTATCAGCATTAGTCGCTGCATTGAGCTCACTTTGCACTACAAATCCTTTTCAAACTGAATTGATTTGTGTGTTTTTGTTCCTTATTTTCAGCTCTTTCTTTGAAAAGAGATCTTAACCTCAATGAGACTTCCCGATTTAAATAAAGATGGAATCGTGATTGTCTCCTTTCTTCCAGCTGTGCTAATGGAGGGGGCTACTACCACTACTCCTACGCTGTCGTCAGAGGTTGTGATCGAATCGTACCGGTGGACATTTATGTTCCAGGTAAACTACTCCTCTAATGAAACTATTGTCCATAAAATTAGGGTGTTTCAAACACTTTTTTGCCAAAACTTTATGGGACAGTTTGGAGCTTGGATTTGTTCTAATGCTAAAGCACAAAATGATACTAGTAACTTTATTATTGGTCACGGCTGTACTTGTATTATTTATAAATGCTGGTAATATTAGTAGTACTGGCAGTACTTATTCCTTGTTAGTATGTACGTATGTAAATATAGCAGTATTCATAATGTATATTGGACATAGTTAAGTCCTGTCATATATATTTAGTGAATTACCAGATAAATCCGATTGGATAACCCTGTACCATCAAGGCAATAAACAAGGGTGCTATGCTTGTCTCAGGTTGTCCCCCCACTGCAGAGGCTCTCCTCTACGGGACTTTACAGCTGCAGAAGAAAATCAAACGTGAGAAGAAGTTGAAGATCTGGTATCGAAAATGAATGTGTGACGTGTGTGCGCTTGTATCTGGTATGTAAATGTTGTACTTTAGGTTTCATTTGGAGCGCTGCTCCTCCTCTATGTAAATCTGCAGGATCCAACTTCAATAAAACCGTCATTGTAATTTACACAAGTGCACTGTTGCTTATTTTCTACCAGGCACAGCAGCAGGCACTCACTTCTGTTTATGTGTGCATTGTGTGACCCACCGCTTAAATTAAAGCTCAAGTAACTACACAACTGGGCTTACATGAAAATACATTATTTCCACTATGACCAATAAAGCCAAATTTAAACCACTAGGTGGCTCCAGTTTTTGCTGACTGACCTTCACTGGCCTGCATCGTCTTACCTTAAGTGGCTGAAAATGAAACCATTTTTTTAAAGCTATACTTCGGTTTAAAGCAACCTAATTTATAAGTAGCGTGCTCTGGGTTGAGTTGAAGTCCTCAGTCTAATGCAGTTATAATCACATACTATAACTAATACTATAGTAATGTACATCCCTGTGTGAGTGGTGGTTTCGCCTCCATCAGCCGCTATCAGAGCAAAGTTCCTACAACGTACGCAGTTTGTAAAACGTCCTCATCGACCTCTTGTCACGTTGACGATTACAACACTGGTTAAAGATCGATTAACGTTTCAAAGCTGCATCTCCACGTACACCTGCTCTCTGGGATTCTTTACACATTAAAACCAAAGTATTAGCTGACTTTTGAGTGATGATGGATGTTTGAGCTCAATCTTCATATTTTAAAGTGAATAAAATTGGACATTGAAATATGTGTATATATATGTATGTATGTGTGTATATATATGTGTGTGTGTGTGTGTGTGTGTGTGTATATATATACGTGTATATATATGTACTTCAGAAAACTGATACCCATACATACAAGTTCTCAAGATGTTAGTTCCAAATATGAGGAAGGAAAAATGCTAATCCTCTCATCTGAGAAATTGAAACCACATATTTAGATTTCTTTCTTGAAAAATGTTTTGCTTTCAGCTTATCCCGTTAGCTGTAAGGTCAGTTTCTGCCTGCTCATATTTCTCTGTGAGACCGTTGACATAACTTCTTTAAATATAACCGTCACGTGCTCATGATTCAGATCTGAGATCCGCCAGCTGCTGTAGTTTCCCACCTAACTGGCTGGTGTTGCATCATCCGTGCACCTCATGATTCATGTGCCCTCACCAGGTGCTAGCTTATTCCCTGCGTTCAGATAACATGCTGTTATCTGCAGAGATAAATTAAAGCATACAGTGTTCTGCACTCTTGAGTCCATCGTGGTGGACTATTAGTGGAGCCAACCAATTGTTTTATTTAAGTATGTTCATTGTGCAACTCTTACTACAGGTGCAAGACAACGATGTGTTATGCGCACTGGTAGTCTTATTTTAAAAACATGTTCGGAATAAAATTATACATTTGACTTTTAGAAGATAATTTGAAGTATGAATTCTCTTAAAATGTTCATGTTTATTGTTATTCATTAAAACCAGCACACTAAGTTTGCAAAGGACTCAACACACATTGCACTACTAATCTACCACAGTAGTATCACATTTAAAATGGCTTTTAAGTGCTCTTATGCGTATTTGCTGGTGATCAACACCGAAAGCAGTCGTTTTACTTCTAGAACATGCTGATAACAGTTGTACTTTCAATTAAGTTGTATATCACTTGCATGTACATTTTCTTCCTACTCACGAATAACATGAGTCTGCTGTGCTCAACATTGAGAGTAGAGAAGATTCACGATCACTATGTATTCAAGCATCACTGATTCATTTGGTCTTTAGTCTAAAATTGGGATTTGCGCAGTGAGAAGGATACTGGGTGATTTAAGGTCCCAACGAGAGGAGTCTCAGTGGGGTGTAAATGCATTTTTGGTGGTTCTGTCTGGTTTTAATTTGCTGTTATTTAATGAAGCACCATCTGCACCGTCACAAAGGTGCAAACAGATAAAACTGGAGCTCCAGTCAAGAAGTTGGCAGGAAACTGAAACCACATGGGAAAATAAACGAATGCAATAACTGTAAAATAAATACCAGTCCCTGTAATCCAAGTTGGGATTGACTTTTATTTATTGAATTGAAGTCAGTGAAATAAACAGAGGTGGTGAGGAGAGACTTGTGAGAAGGCACATCATTGTAAAAAAAAAAAAAAAATCTAAAAAACAGTTGTAGCACCATTTTTGGACTTTAGTCCTTGACGATGGTCGGAGTGATCATCTTATTGAAGGAATAGTATTTGCATTCGGTGGGTGGTGCAATGTCCATGGTGGTCGTGCTAATCTTCTCCTTCTTGAAGCCGGCTTGGAGCAGATGAGGCACTTGGGTCTCCTGGGAATCATTAACAGACAGAGTTTGTGACTGTGAGACTCTCCGGCTTTATCAGCCACTTCGGTTTGATCCGGTTTATCGTTGACCTTGAAATTATCACAGCGTTTGATACAGGTTGTCATCGTCATGATGGAGGCCTGCGCTCAGCGATGTGCACGATGGACGATCGGATTAAACGCTAAAGTCTAAAAAGTCTGGTTTGAATATGTGTATTTGTGGTTTGAATACACGTTCCCGGCCAAAGGACAACCACTCTGCTCAGGCAAAGTAAAGTAATTACGGGCCTTTTCATTATCAGTGCTATTGTTCAGTAACTTGAACCGGTCTTATGCTACAATAAATTGCAAGATACTGTATTTACCAACTAAAATAGTTCTGTTTGCTGTTGATAGTAATTATTTTCCAAAGATGCAATGCACAAAGGAAATGTAGGAGCTACTTCCACACCTTCATAACATTCTTTTTTGCCAAATGCAGAAAAATACTTTATGACTAGAATAAAGTACATATTTTATACAGTTAACATGTACTTTGTCAGTTTGACTCATAGAGGGCTTTGGTAGCATAATTCAATTCAAATACACAACACTTTTGCGCACAAAAAGTATAGATGGTTACTGAGAAAACAGATTACCGCTTCAGAGGAGTTAAATGAAGCTGAACTTGTTTTGCGGGCAATAACGAAGGTGACCAACCTCAAACATCTTCTCAATGTTGTCATATTTGGTCTTGAGCAGCTCTCCCCAGGAGGTCAGGTTGCAGTACGTGAGGACGCCGCCGGACTTCAGCAGCCTGTTTGCGTGACCCTGCAGAGACACACGGACAGAGTCAACAAGCCCTTTGGCCCGGTTAACGAGTCTTCATGCAAACAATTCAAAGATTATCCTCCTTTTCGGGACTTTGTTTGACTTGCTGGTGTTCTTTGTGAGGATTTTAGCTACTTAAGACTTACCTTGATGAAGTCAAACTGGTGAGTGTGCCATGTGTCCTCTGACAGAGGGTATGTGTCATAAAGGATACCTTAAGAGAAGAAGCACACGTGTTAGCAGAGTGCACACCACAACAGACTCATTCAGCTTTCCAAGTGTGTGTGTGTGTTGTTTATCGCTTCGAGTGGCACAACCAGGGTGCAGTAATGTTTTATTTATTGTGACGGGTTGATTCATACTCTGCTCGTCAGAGTTTGACGGTGTTGTGTGGGTGTTTTAAAAAAAGGCTTTGTTCACACATTTCTTTAATTTGTACAAATTATCTGCCCCAATTTTCATCGAAACACAGTGAACTGCAGACCGACTCAGGATTGGCCACGACGCAGAAACCGCGAGCTGAACATCTGGTTTGAGCTCTTACCATCAAAGTGGTTGTCAGGCAGGGTGGAAACAACGTTCTCCCAAAGGCCCTTCAGCGGGACCACCTGCAGCAGCAGAGAGACCAACATCACTCCTGCTCACTTTTGCAGCGCAGCAAACGCATCTTTCTAGCAACAGAGCGCGCCAGTCAAATAGGCAGTTGGATCGGCTGACCTTGTGGGGCTGAGACTTGGCCCAGTTCTCCAGCCTGGCGAAGACGCCGTCGTTGCACTCGATGATCCAGTGCTCCTCGATGGGGTAGGACTCGATCTTGGTGGCGGCGATGGCCATGCCGAAGCCGATCTCCAGAACGCGACCTCCTGCCGGACCGAACACAACGACGCAATGAGAAAGCTTTCCGGGGGGCTCAGAGGCGGCGTTTACTCCACATGTCCTTGCCGTGCACTGATGTGTATTGCCACACTTTTGGTGAGCAATTTTTCTCCTACGGATCAGCGAGACCATAGACAATTTTTTGACTCTGTTGGGTGTGGAGGGGAAGCCAGTTGGGAGTAGCATGCGGTGGGACCGTAAAAGCCAAAGAGTTTCATTTCCTTTCAGAGAAGAATATAAATAGATGAGCGATGAGTTTGTTGTTGCTCGACCCCCTTCGAGATGATTTACTGAGCCATTAAACAGCAACTCAGTGTAATATTCACATTTAGATTCAGAAAACTTTCTGCAGCAGTCTTTGTCTAGGTTTCTTCGGAAAATAGACTTTAATCTTGATGGGACTAATAAAGGTTAAGTCAAAATTTAAATAAAAAATATTTTAGAAATATCCACAGAGACACAATGTTTCACGTTGAAAACATTTGTTTTTAACCAAAAATTAAAATATTAAAACTGCCTCAAATTACCATGTATTTTCACAAATGGTGTTTGCGTGTCGGTTTTGTCATATGCATACATTTTGAAATAAACCATTTGATCTTACAGCAAACCCATAAGTCAGCTATGGTGTGGAGATCAGTGTATTTTTTTGAGTTGAGAGCAGATGAGCAGTTTCCCCCTGGAGACCTGTTGGCCTTTTCCCATGAGTGGAGAAACAGCTGCTGTAGTACTCACACAGCACTGAGCCCCGGGCTGCTCACATTCTCCCACGTGGGATCATTTAACAAAATCCTAATGAAAAGGCTCCAAAATCTTTCATGAATAAAGTAGTGTTTTGATTTTATTTTTTCCCTGTTTGGATTCTTTTTTTATTTTTAAATTAAAATTTCTTTTTGAAAGCCCTTCACCTCTTTTAAACTATAAAATGTTAGGGAGAATTGTTTATTATGCAATATGCATAACAGACACAGCTTTTTGGGACAAGCATACTGGTTGTCTGCATTATACATTATACAGATTATTCACCTGATACCAACAGTCTTAATAATATTGGATCATATTGACTGCACATTTCTGTTCAAAAAGTAATAGCATTTATAACATCAATTTAATGTTAAATTAAATGTCCCTCGCAAAACACAACTTTTTAGGCAGAAATCCCTCATCACAAGCCCATCGCCCGTTAGAAAAGTACGGTGTCCGACAAGGGACAGAGACACGTACCAACGGGCCCTTCAACTACGACTTTTACCTTTGGAGGCCGCAACTGTCGACAGTGAATGCATGTACGGGGTCTCCCAGCGCTCCATCACGGGTTTGCCCATGATCTCCAGGTGCGTGTCGGTCTCATTGTAGCCGGCGCTCGCGTCGTGCCAGTCGGTCTTGCAGTCCTCTCCTTTGCTGAATATGGGCTGGGCCGCGGTGCTCATTTTGTTTTGATATGGAGGAGGCAGGGGTAGTTGGACGGCTGGGCAGACTGCGTCTCCGTACAGAAGAGAGTGAAAGACAGGAGGTGGACGGTTTATATCGGGATCAGAAGTGCTGACTGGCGTTAAGTTTCTACTACAGGTCAAAGGCTCGCACACATTCCCAGAGGCGCGAGGAGGCGTCCAAGATCCTCAGTAGAGAAGATGATTCACTGGGCGGTAAATAGGTGGCTCCTTCCTCACGGTGAGGATGCCAAATTAAGAAACAGCTTAAACCTGGTACCATTGTTTCCACGTATTCCCAGTGAAGCCTGAAAGGCAGATTCGGGGATTTTCAAGTTCACATACACATGCCATTTTATTTATTCTAATGTAAAGCGTATACTAATTATACTTAATCAGCACACGGTATATATATATATATATATATATATATATATATATATATATATATATATATATACACAGGGTATATATATACAGGGTATATATATATATATATATATACAGGGTATATTTTGAGCTCTCGAAACGCTTTTTGCACCACGTGTACATTTGCGGCACACAAGAATCTCAATCGTTTAGTTTATTTGCACTTTTTTATAATTTAGCTATTTCTATTTTGAACTTCTGGGCATAGCGGTTATCCGTATTTTTAGTAGTTTCTGGATAACCGTGTAGCTCCAAAGTATTAAGGCATTCATTAATGGTGTCATTGTTTAACGATGGAATAATAAATGTTAACCACTAGGGCGTGTGAGGACTCAAGTTACTGTAATGTTGGTAGCCTATTCAGATTGTCACTCTAAGAATTATACCACCGCACAAACCCCCTCTTAAAGTATTCAATTACACTAAATTGTTTTTGTCATTAGAAATAACAGAGTTTCATGGGTGGCCCGTTTCCATAGTTTATGCTAAGCTAAAATATAACTAGCATTGACAAGTATCGGATCTTCTCATCCTTCTCTTGGAGAGGAAGCTAACGAAACAAAAAACACAAAATATTCAGTTAAAAAAAGAAAATGCTTTTTGTTAATTAGCTTGAAAGATTGTTCACAAACGAAAATGCTCCAGATTTGTCTGAACGGAATCGTGCTTCATTCAGTGTGGAGTTTCTAGTTTGGCGCGTACTGAAGTGACAGCAGAGTGAGAGGTCTGTGTTATCTGTATTATCGCGCTCTTTGAGCCTGGACAGCTGGAGTCAACTATTTGAGTGGATCCAAATCTCACATGTGCATTTGCTCCCTATTTCAACACCTCATTTGAGCAGCTTCATGAAATGGAGTAAAATATGCTTTATTAGTGGCTTAGGTCGTTATTGTTTTCAATATATGAGTATATAATAAAAATATTTATCCACATATGTAAAATTATTAGTTTTCAAAATGAAAAGAGCCCTACATACAAGTAGGAAAGAATGTGCACAGTATAAAATATTGGCAATTTGACTAGCTAAGTCAAACAATTGCATAAATGCAGCGGATTAAATATCTTATTTTTAATGAATAAGAGTTTAAACTATTAATTGACCTGATTGATTTTATAGAATATAATATATATGCTGTTATTGTCCACAAGAATCGTATTTGGATAATATTTTATATTTTATTTTAGGTTTTAAACATTTTATTTGAAAATGATGCACTTGAAAGCTCTGCTCCTTGGAACTTCGGATAGACCCTAGTTTCACTGTTTTCAATGTCAGATAGCGCATATGTTAAATGACTCAATGAGACGGAACCAGAGTCAAAAATGGATCATCAGATCCACTTCAGTCCCATTAGGTAAAGCCGAGTGGGACCGGCTCTTCGTTGACGGTCCTCATCCGATCGCAGGTTTTCACCCACCTAGCGCTTTCACGCGAGGCTCTTCATCCACGCTGCCTTTGAATAGCTCTCGTTTATGCAGAAGCTCACTTTCATCCGGCAACTACAGCACTTTGACGCGGGAAACAATAAAGTATTACATCTTTTTTCTTTTTTCTATTTGGTCTGCGGTTCTTGTATGATGTCATGTCACATTCCCCAAAAAGCCCATCAGAAACCTTTTGATGAGGTTTAGCTGCAGGAAATACAACACTTTGGTAAATGTTGATATTTAATTGCTGAACCACTTGGACGGATGAGTGAGACCTAACTGGAAACATTTCCAGGGTTTTCAGTTACAGTACTTTCAAAAATACCAGTTATACGAAAACGTTATAGGACTACAGACCATTAGCACGCTGCTGACCCCTGATGACACTTCCGGCCCTCAGCTGGGACCGATGAAGTCCTCCTCTACTTTGGGTCAACCTTTCTCAGTCACACGATGTCTAGATTACTGCCAAAAAAAGATGTTTTATAACTTAACAAAGACATTGAATGAATACAGTTGATGAAAAAAAACACACATGATTGATGTTTAAGAAGTTTCCCTTCACAGTTTGGCCCTCGCAGTAGAACACACTGCTACGCTCAGCATTTCTCCACCAGCTCCAGACCAAAGGGAATGTCCAGCTATCCAGAGTCAATGGGGAGGAAAAAACTGTTCAGGTCAACCAGAGAAAATCAACTCAATTCACTATCAGTCAGTTCAGAGTTCCCTTGTTTGTTTGTTTTCAATTCAGCCTTTAAAGGACAGAAGTTGAGGGGGAATATACAAACATTATGAATCACGTCCTCTACAACTTATGACCTTGTATGTTGCTGTTTATATTTCCCTCCAGTGAATGGTGGCTGGGATCTGGATTCGGCATCTGAGGGAATGCTGTGCAGCTCACAACAGGAAGAGGGTGCCGCTGTCCTTTAAAGCAATGGAATTTAAATTTGAGCAATAATTCATGCTAATCCCAGTCGTCTCCTTTATGTTGTGCTGTAGTGTAGCTCAAGTACTGTATGCCATACTTCTACTTCACAACATTTCAGAGAGAAATGGAGTATTTATTTTATTTTGCCTTGCCCCATCTCTGAGGCTGCTTGTATCCGTTTCTTTATTGTTCGCTATAAAAACTGAACAATATAATGATTATCTAAAAATTTGAAAGGAGCCATTCTGCCTTCTACTTTTTATGCTCAACGTGTATTTAGCTGACAGTAGTTGTGTGCCTTTCTACTAAGGACACTTTCAGGACATCTACACATGTTATTACCCCAACAGTCTATTAACACTAATCTTTTTGCATTATGACAACTGTCTCACATGGATTGTCGTGTTCCTCTTCACAGACAGTACTGTTGTAAAGCTGCCTGTATTTTGAATGCACTGGGATCGCACTGGGAGTGTAATTTAAAAGAATATGACACTGTATCTCGGTTTCCAGACGCCAGGAAGAGGCGCAACACTATCAGCGGCATAAAAAGCCACATTTGAGCCACATTTGTACTAACGGCTTCTCAACCCTGTGACCACCGATGCTGCGTTTTACTGCTTGTGGTTTGTGTGCGGATATCCTCTGCCGTGTTCCTTTCATGCCATATGTCTTGATTTGTGTTTCTAGTTTGTTCAGTGACTGTTCCGGCACCATATGTTCTCGACATGACCTGCATAGACACGACCCGTTAGAATTAACTGCAAGCGAACTCTGCTTCAATACACGATTCAATATTGTACACGGTTCACTTACTAATTAAATACATGAAAGAGACCAGAATTTAAAGCCCATAGAAACAGTAAATAGTCACCGACAAGAGGACACAAGGTTGTCGTTCCATCACGCCATTGTCCTCTCCTCCTCCTGCTCCAGTTTGACTCGCTATAACCCAGAAGCCCCTCTGAGAAACATGATGAAGCGGTTTTCCCCACATACAATTTAAAAAAGAATAACTGTGTTGATGGACTCAGTCCCAGTGGAGAAAGGCTGTTATAAATCTTGACACACTGAATGGTGACCTCATTTTGTCCTCTAGATTTGTCCTCAAAGAGATGAAGGGAAACAAGCTATTGAATGAAAGCGTGGATCTCACACCCACATTACAGTACCAACTGGGAGCTGTTCATACATTTGGGGAATACTCCAAATGGGTAAATGGATAACCGTGTAGTTCTATTTTTTATTGTAAATTAGTACAATAATTGCATGACAGACGGAATGCGTTTGAATGGGATGTTTTTTTTACAATAAACTTTTATTAAGAAACCCTCCCAAAGACCTTGCAAGGGAAGGGGCTAACTTTGGTAGATTACTCATGATGAATGAGTCTGAGAAACGTTCCACTTCGCAGAACTAGAGGCTGATATTCGTGTTCTTCCCCACCCAGGCATTTCTACACTAGATCTTACACAAACGGAATGCGGTTATTGCTTTGCCTTCAGGGTGTTGAGGCGTTAACTTAATGAAACATCTATGACAGTATGTTTTATTTTGAAACAAAAGAGTAGCAGAGAGCTGTTCTTACAATTAACTGATCGCAGATATTTTTAGTTTTCTTCTGAGGCAAAACACATTTTACCCTAAAAACGAAAACGTGCTCATTATTATGAGAAGCTTCAATGTTGCGATATTTGTGTTCTGCGTTTTCATTTTTTGTTGAAGGTTTTGTTGATTGCTTAAAAACACTTTAACCACTCAATTAGGTGTACCCATGTATTGGTAGTAAATGTATTATAAAGTATAATACTAGTAATAGTGCTGGCAAACGATTAAAAAGTAAAAACACAGCGGCTTGCTTTTGGTAATATTTAACCGTTGGACCATTATTGTTGATGCATCCTCAGATATAAGTCGTAAGTATTAAGAAAACACCTTGACAGTGCGGACTGTTTGAGTGTAATGTTCCTTTAAAGCCCGCTACCTGCCCCCCCTCCCTCTCCCCGGGTGCCACCCCCCCCCCACGCAGCGTCGTCATTGCGCAGAACAGTTTGAACCAAAAAGCGGAGTGACCTTCCCCTCCGCTCTCAGTCTGAGACGGGCAGCACCGAAGCAATAAGCCGGTCACAGCTCTTGCAGCCGGTCCCCTCCCGCTCAAAGCCTCAGAGATGAACAACAACTTAGTCGGCGATGAAGTCGGGTGAGACGCGTTTAACGGAGCCTTCCGCGTGCGACCGCGAGCTGCGCCGTAACTTCTAATTAGCGCGCTTACTCCGCGGGGCTGTCATTTGACAGCTAACGTTAGCTACTGAGCTAAGCTAGCTGCGGTTACTTAGCGGGGTCGCTAGCCCGAGCAGCCCGAACAACGACGGCCAGCCAAAGTGAAAGTAATCCTCAAAGTTGCTCAGTTGTTCGTGTTTTTTGGGGGGGATTTCGGGTAAACACAGCGCGCGCGCCCGGAGTGCCGCCGCGCGGCTTGTCAGCAGAAACGTACGCGAGCGTAGTTACTTATTTTAGCGTTGTTTTCAGTTAGCATCTGAGCTAGCGCGGGCTAACGCCGCCAGCGAAGCGAAGGTCTCCTCTTCTCGCATCGCGCATCGCGAGGGCATTTAGCGGGCACGGAGGGAGCGATGTGATCGTCACCGTCCGCCCCAAACCAACCCACCCGTGTCACAGCCGCTACAATCCCCACCCGACGTGTTTCGGCAGGGATCTTTAAAACGACGAGTGAAGTCGCTAGCTGTTTTTTTTTATATATTACTGCCGCTCTGACGTGCCGTTAAACTTCCAGGCGCTCGCTCGTCCTGCGCTCCGCACCGCCCCGGGTATTGCGCAAGGTTTGCGGGGGGAATCCTCAGCCGGTGGTGGTCGGTAACCACCGCAGCTCCTGGAGTCCTGGAGATGAGATGAGATGAGATGAGGAGGGGGAGGGAGGGGGTGTTAGCATGCTAAACGCCACGGGTCTGTCCCGGGTTAACTTACGTGGCATAAAAGAGCGCTATTGTGTTGGTCCTCACGTAGACAGAAGTCCAAAGGGACCTTTGCATTGGTCCCCATCCTGTAATCGGTGTGTACGTCTCACTCCTCGTGCGTTGTGTAATAACTGTGTACTTCGCTTTCCCAGTCAGCTGTAGCGTTGTTTTTGCTGTGAAGCTGTGCTGTCAAATCTTCTCATCTATGGGTGTTTTCAGCCTTTTCACGGCCCCCGAAGAGGCAAATTGATTCCATGCTCGTTCTCAAGCTGTTTCCGAGTGACTTATAATATGACGTGACGTATAAAATAATTAAAGATGTATCTGTTATGATGATTCATTATTTGACTAATCGATCATTATACATCTACTCTTTTCAGGAAACTTTTTGTGGGAGGATTGGACTGGAGTACCACGCAAGGTAAGTTAAACCCGCGACGTTAAATCAGTTGTCTCAAGCCTGAATATCAGGTTATATGCAATATAATCACAAACACGTTTAAGATGCTTTTGATTTCTTACAAAAGACATCATCAACACATTTGAGAGTAGAGCTGGTAGACCTTGAGTACAAATAATGTTATTACAGTTGGTGCACAATAATTACAACAATAGGGTTACATGTAATGGCGTCTGACATCATTACTAATATGGATGTGCTGATCCAACAGCCAAACTAAAATATTAAGTTGCATATTTACATTAAATTGATATCTGTGATGTTGGAGTCGTGGCCGTTGTGCGTCTTTTATTTACGCCGCTTTCCTGTGTTTGAAAAATGTTATTTGGGATCTTGTGATATTTTACCCATTGCCCATTTCTGATGATCACATACACATCAGTCCGTCTACAGTGTGCCTTCCTCTCCACCGGCTCACGCTCCATTGATCACTGTGTAACTTTCAACGAGGGCTTGCCCGTGTTAGAAGCACACTGCGAACATTAAGATCTAAACCGCAGCGCCGCGCGTAGCTGGTTTCCTTAGCGATGCCCCCGGGCTTCCCAGCCATGAGAAAAGCAATTACGATCGCTCCCTCAGAAGTGGCTCCTCGTTTGTTCAAACTCGCACGCCTTGCTACTGTGGGCGTTCCAGTAGTTTGTGGTGTATTTGGTGCCGTTTAACAGGACAGGATGTCAGGGTTGTGTTTGTTGTTAAGCAACGTCAACACGCGAGTTGAAAATGACCTCAGTGCATTGTTGAGTTTACACCTAAAACAACAAAGGTAAAATCTGCCGTAAGACAAACGAAGGTCGCTGGATGTCTCGTAGTCTTCCCTTTCGTGCTTTTGTGGAGTGGTGCAGGTTTTCTTCCCCCACACACGTTTTACCGCAGTTTGAAGAGCTCATTTATCCCATCGAGTCCGTGAGTTCTAGAAGTCATTACTACATTTCTTTGTTTTCAATATACAAGCTGGACCGGGTTATTGCTCCGATTACATTTATGGTACAGTTGTAGGTTTCTGTGCAAATTTTTCATGAAGCAGCACTGTTATTTCATTTCTTTCTTTCTTTCTTTTCTCAGAGACACTTAGAAACTACTTTTCGCAGTATGGGGAAGTAGTCGATTGTGTCATCATGAAGGACAAAACTACGAATCAGTCGCGAGGCTTCGGCTTTGTTAAATTCAAAGACCCCAATTGTGTACGGACGGTGCTGGAGACAAAGCCGCATAATCTTGATGGAAGAAATGTGAGTATTTTAAGTCAAAGGAGCAGATAATCATATCAAGCAGAGTAATCTGTCTGTGCGTTGTGCGAGCAAAGGCAAAAACCTCATACTGCATTCGCCTATTCAGAGGAGTTCGAAGTTATTCAAGGAGAAGCACAATTGTACTTCTCTACAGACAATTCTCTTGGCTAAATATTGACGTTGGTTTTGCCCAGCGAGAGGTACATGTTAAAATGCAAATTTAGAAATTGAATGGCAGAAAATGAAAACATTTTTAAATTCTTTTTTTTAAAGAAGGCAGAGAAGGTTTCAGTTATTGCCCCTTTGCTGTTAATAAAGCATGTTATTGGCTATAAATTCGATTCAATCGATATACATATTTTTCCCTGTTGTGTGAGGAGAGCCAATATAATGTGATGGGTTCAGTGAAGAAGAACGTTTGAAGGTGCCTTTTAATGAGGTGAAATGTTTTCTCTCTCTGCTGTCAGATTGACCCGAAGCCATGCACTCCCAGAGGAATGCAACCTGAAAAGTCTCGAACCAAGGAGGGCTGGGTAAGAAAAGTCTGATTTCTACTGGGTACGCTGGGAGTTTGTGATGGAACACGGCTAAGGTGATCAATCTCTCCGTCCTCTACTGGACTCTTTTCTTGGCCGTGAGGAGACCTTGAGAGAAATCTGACGTTGACCTAAATTCTCTTGTTCCACGTAGTGCGGTCTTTGCCTTTGGAGAACACCATAAATTGGTTGGGGGTTTCGATAAATCACAGATGCATCAGATAATCTATGACTTGTATCAAGCTCTATTTGTGATCAAGGGGCGGCAACAATATCAGCGGATTTGTGATCACATATTCCCAGAAGCAATGAAGAGGTCTGTATCACCATGCTAAATAGTGGAGATACAGCAACACTCTTGATAGGCCTTTCTTTGATGTAGATCAGTTTCTTTATTTAAATATTTGAGGAAATGTTATGCCTTCCCAGCTGAAATACTGAATGTTGTTACTAGTAGAACTATAGACGGGCTCGACCGTGTGGTTCTGAAGATTTGCTTTCAGCAGTGAATCATTTTGTGAAAGGGAGGAATCTCTGCAGATCAGATCAGATCTGTTATGGTCATTTAGTCACTTTGGACTGCAATGGTTTCAGTTATTGCCCCTTTGCTGTTAATAAAACATTTTTTTTTGTATGTCATACATTTCGCTGTAAGCATACATTTGAATGTCAGAAGCTTTTACAAATAAAGCCCTTGGCTTCCCACTGGAATTCCCTTCACTGACTTTTAAGTAGCTGCCACTGAATGTTTTACTAACAAGGCAGAAGATGTAATTGTTAAAAATCGTTGTCGTAAGCAGCCTCGAGCCTGTGCAGCGTGAGTGCAGTGCCCAGCAGTGGGGAAGTGCTTGGTGGTTGTGAGTAAGTGTGGGGGGGGA